GCAGCCTTTTAAAAATGTTTGTGTGTGTGTGGGGGGGTGGGCCTGTGTGTGTGTGTGTGTGTGTGTGTGTGTGTACGTGTGTGTGAGAGAAAGACAGGGGGGGAGAAAGAGAGTATAGCTGCAACTGCTGACAAGCTTCCCTGTCATTGTAGACAGGGAACTGCAACATTTAGTATTAGTTTTATGTGAATGTTTTTATGGTTGTCCCCTTGGTACTAGATAGCCTATTATGGGGGAATCACCCCGAGGAAGAATAACTGTTCCCTCTCTTAGCTGTTGTTAATCCCCTCTAGCTCTTCAGATAGGGTGGGCCCCGATGAGTTTCCCCATTCTTGTTGGCATGCCAACATATATATCATTGTTCAGATATTGTTTAGGCAGCCATGCTGTTGCGATTTTATGACTGTATCTTTGCTGTGCAACACCATTCCTGCGTAGGTGTGAACAAACATCTGCTCACCCCAGAGAGGGAGCTGATAGTACTCCCAACAGGTTGGGAGGTGTCTTTTTCAGGTTGCTCGGTTGGATTGAGCCTCTTCCAGGTGCTTGACTCCTCTTTGTTTCCTAGGCTATTTGACTTGTCCCTGCTCTTCCCAGACTGCCACTGTATCTGAGCCTCTTCTAGGTAACTCAGCTGGTCTGAAAGTTTCTCTCAGCAGTCCTTACTGCTTATAAATACTTGGGAAGGAAGGGACCTAGCAATTGTGGTCAGTTTCACTGAATTCCTGAAGCTATTTTGAATTGAGTAATTTCTGAGCTTAAGAAAGTTCCCTTCAGGATGGAGAGTTTCATCTCCCTGTAGAACAAAATCCTGTTGTTTCACCTCTCTGTAAACATTCATTCTTAAAATATCCTTTTGTTTCAACTCCACTTAAATGTACCGTGCTTTAACAAGCTTCCCTTCAAGATAGAAAGGTTTTCTCTTTTTTTACATTTTAAATTAAAAATTTAAATTAGAAACACTTCTATTTTATATATCAATCCCAGTTCCCTCTTCCTCCCATCCTCCCATGGCCCCAACGACCCCCATCCCGTCCCTCTTCCACCCCATAGAAAGGGTGAGGCCTTCCATGGGAGATCATTAAAATAGAAAGGTTTTAATCCTGGGGAAACTTCTACACAAGCTTCCCTGTCATTGTAGAAGACATGATCTCACAGGACTTTCTGGTCCAGGTCTTAGAATTTTTCCACTTTCTCCTTCATGATGTTCTGAGTCTTTGGTGTTTGCATTGTGTTACAAATGTGTCAGCTTGGGCCTGAGCAATCCATAATTTATTGTTCCCTGAATTTTGTTAAGTGTGCCTTTCTGTGATGGTCTCCATCCACTGATAAAAATGAGAGCGACACTTATCTATGAGTACAGGGACAAGTATTTGGAATGCAGTTAGGAATTATACTGGTTTAGGAAAAGTTGCAGTAATGGGTTCTCCTCTAAAATCCATGACATCATCAGCCATGAGCATTTGGCTAGGTTTACTCACTCAACTTCTCTTCTGTAAGTTAACTATTTTACTGCATTCTCACCTTCCCTCTTGTTTCTTTTTGATTCTTTGTCTCTTGAGGTTCCTCCATAGTGAGCCCACTTATCTGACAGGGAATATCATTTAGTATTTAGCAATCATGTAGGGCCTTTGACACTATTGATTCCATGAGACTCTTTTTTTTTTAAAAAAAAATGGTTCAACTTTGTTGCTGTTATTATTATTGTATATGCATTTTATCTCTCTCTGTGTGTGTGTGTGTGTGTGTGTGTGTGTGTGTGTGTGTGTGTGTGTGTGTACTCATGCCATGGTGTGTCTACAAAAACCTGAGGAAGTAGAATTTCAGAATGGTTTCAGCTCATCATTACCTCCAGCTGCTGTTGTGTGAGCTTTCTTACCTTGCCTAACCCAATCCTTTCAAGTGAACATATCTGGTTGATTAGGCATCATCCACAGAAACATTTTCCTGATGGGGACATTATGAGTTTTGTCTTAAGAACTATCCATTTTACCATAAACTAGGTTATGCACAAGAGTAGTGTGAAGAGAGGGAAGAAAATCAGAATATTTGTCCCATTAGGTTTGAAGGGTGTGGACTTTATTTTATGGCTTAACCAGAGAGCAACACATCTAGCTCTATTCAGGGAATTTAATTTGCATCTCATTAACTACCTTAGCAAAATTCAACATTAGCCTAGAAAGGCTCATTTGATTAAAGAACTAGTGGACATTGTTCTCGCAGGCTAATCAAGTTAATTTTAATGGCAGTAATACTGTCTCCCTGGCAAGTTACTGTGAAAATCAAATAAGTTACCTCATATTCTGGGTGGTTCGTAAATTATACAGTGTGTATACAAGTATAGGTATTTCAGGACTGTTTATTCATTTGTGACAGCCCCTGGGTTCCATTTTTCCCTATACATATTCCTAAGAGATACTTCATCATTATTTAACCAAGTGGAACCTCAGCCTGAATTACTATTAACCATGTTATCAAATGGTACACTAATTCACTAAATAAATTTAGAAAACTATCACAGGCCAGTAATGGCCAGTCATGGAGTTGTTAAACAGCTATATACAATATTAAGAACATGATTTAGGAGACAGTTGTGAAGCTTGGGCTATCTGAGGGGCCCCTGGCAGTAGAATCAGGATCTATCCCTGGTGAATGAGATAGCTTTTGGAGCCCATTTCCTATAGTGGGATGCCATACCCAGTCTTAATGCAAGGGGGAGGAGCTTGGTCCTGCCCCAACTTAATGTGCCAGACTTTGTCGACTTCCCATGGGAGCCCTTATCCATTGGGAGGAGTGGATGGGGGGTTGGGCTGGGGATGAGGGGGGACAGGAAGAGGACTTGGTGGGGAGAACTGTGGTTGGAATGTAAAATGAAACTTTAAAAACTTAATTATCTAGTTTAAAAGAACACAGTGTTTGTGAGTGCACATGTACACACACACTCTGATTTTGGCAGATCTGCCTGAGAACCAGCACAACTCTTTACTCTTACACATTCTGTGTGCAAAGGTTGGGAGCTGGAGACAATATCTGGAGAGGGTATAAAGGCATTCCAATTCCAGGGAAACAAAGTGGGAGATGCTACTTCCTCTCTCCCTAAATCAAAAGCAAAGATCCAAGGTAAACAGGGTTCATATGTGAATTTCTGGAGTCACTTTCCTCCTGAACTGAATAGAGGGTAACAAATGGAATGAAACGCTGCTAACAGTGAGCCAGACACAAAATGGGCTATGTTGACACCAGGATCCCATGGTTTGTTAACTGGGATACTCCAAGTTATGCTACAGAAGGGCCAGGGTAGAGTAGTCTGAGGTCCCTTCCAAGAGGGTTGTCTTAGTTAGGGTTTCTGTTGCTGTGAAAAGACACCATGACCATGGCAACTCTTATAAAGGAAAACATTTTTTTAATTTTAATTAGAAAGAAAATTATTTTACACGTCAATCCCAGGTCCCTTTCCCTCCTCTCCTCCCCTGCCCCCCCAACTAACACCCTACCTATCCCGTACCCTTTCTGCTCTCTAGGGAGGGTGAGGCCTGGGGGTCTTCAAAGTCTGTCTTATTCTTTGAGATAGGGCCTAGGCCAACCCCCTTGTGTCTAGGCTCAGGGAGTATCCCTCCATGTGGGATGGGCTCCCAAAGTCCATTCCTATGCTAGGGATAAGTAAAGGAGAACATTTAATTAAAGTGGCTCACTTAGAGTTCTGATGTTCAGTCCATTATCACTGAGGTGGTGGTAGGGAGCATGGTGATATGTAGACAGACATGGTGCCAGTGAAGTAGCTGAGAGTCCTACATCTTCCAGGCAGCAGGGAATGGTCTGTGACACTGGGTGGTATCTTGAGCATAGGAAACTCAAAGCCCACCCCCACAGTGGCACACTTCCTCCAATAAAGCCAACACCTACTCCAACAAAGCCACACCTCCTAATAATGCCATTCCCTATGAGCTTATGGGGTCTAATTACATCCAAACTACCACAGGGGTACTCGATTGAAGATCACAGTGAGCAAGATCAAGCCTATTTGGCCTCCAAAATAAATCATGATTGCAAAAAGGACTTATCTGTCCAATTAACTATCTAGAGCTCTCAAAGATACTGGGTGATTCATAAAATATCTCTGGAAGATCCCATAGATAGATATGTCTAATCTTTTAGATGGAAGAGACTAAGCATATCACACAGATATACCTGCAGATATTACCTTTATTGGTATTTATATTTATCCTCATATTTGATTTTAATATGGCCTCCAATAGGCATGCAGGGTAGAAACTGAAAAGTAAGAATAGGACCAATCAAGTCCATACTAAGCTAATATGACATAGTGTTTTTGAAAGATCTGTAAGACTTTTTGAGATCAAATATATTAATTTCATCTTGTGGAACCATCATGGAAAAATAGTGTAATCTCATTTTATGGACAGATGATCCAGAAGCTTAAGAAATGCCAGATCAAGCCGGGCGATGGGGGTGCACGCCTTTAATCCCAGCACTTGGGAGGCAGAGGCAGGTGGATCTCTGTGAGTTCAAGACCAGCCTGGTCTACAAGAGCTAGTTCCAGGACAGGCTCTGAAGTCACAGAGAAACCCTGTCTTGGAAAAAAAAAAAATGTCAGATCAAAGGGGTCCAGACCAGGCTGGTGAAACCCACAGAAACAGCTGACCTGAACATCGGGGAGCTCTTGGTCCCCAGACTGATAGCTGGGATAACAGCATGGGATTGATCCAGATCCCGGATCCCAAAGTGTGGACTTTGGGAGCCCATTCCACATAGAGGGATACTGAGTGTGCCTAGGCCCTATCCCAAAGGATACGATAGACTCTGATAACACCGTATGGAAGGCCTCACCCTCCAGGGGGAGCAGAAAGGATATGTGATAGGTAGGGTTTTAGTTGGGGGCTTGGATGGTAGGGGAGGAGGAGAGGGAGAGGGAACTGGGATTGACATGTAAAACAATCTTGTTTCTAATTTAAATTTAAAAAAATCTGCAAAAAATGATGTTAGTGCCAAAGAAGCCTATCCACTGATTAAACCCCTGTTTAATTTCCATTGGTATATAGCATGCCTTTAGAGTGTACAACTGCAAAAGGAAAGTCTTTCAACTTAAACCTACTACCCATTGGTAGCACCCACACCTGTGCTTATTTGTGTTCTCTGGATGCAGCAGACAGGCTGTTTTTCTCATATTATGCAAACCTGTAAGAGGCCAGGTCCCACACAGAAGTCAAGAACCGCAAAAGCTGAATTAATATATATTGTGGTGGCAGGTGACAAGCAAAATGGAAGATTTGGAAGAAATAGAGGTAAGCTGGTGGGAAATTGGCTTAGGGAAAACCAGAAGTTGGGGTTAGAATACATCTGGAATGTTCCTCCATAGTTCCTTGGAGGTCAGCTTCTTCCTTTGCAATTACAAAGCAGCAGAGTGTGTGTGCATATGTATTTGTGCATATGTATGTGTTTATCGGAGGACTGGGTGCTAATGCCAGATCCCATTCTTCCAGTTTCTTGAAAGGAGAGGAAGAAAACTCTTTTTCTCACTGTTTGAACATAGGAGAAATAATCTGATTGTTATGTCCTATATCATGTGGCAATCCCTGGATATAGAGTGGACAGAGGAGTAACTATCAAGAATGACATATCTTAGAAACCTGTCCCCTAGCTGGGAGATGATGGCTCATGCCTTTAATCCCAGCACTCTGGAGGCAGAGACAAGTAGACATCTGTGAGTTCAAGGCCAGCTTGGTCTACAGAGCTAGTTCCAGGAAGCCAGGATTACACAGAGAAATCCTGTCTCGAGAGAAAAAAAGGAATTAAAAATAAACCTGTCCCCAATTTCAAGATTTTGTCCAGGGAGAAAAGACTATTAGTAAAGAGGCAATGTATACTGGACAGACTACAAGAAGACATTTAAATCTACAATGAAACACAAAATGCTACTTGGTTAATAGCAATGCACCATAAAGGAAAATGTCAGACAAAGCAAGACAATTAACATACGAAGGCTTGATAATCAATTTCCACATACATTGCCTGTGATAGGAAGCAAGGTACAGCAGAATCCATTTAGGTAATGTTTCTTTTTCTCTTCCTAGAATATAAATTTATTTAGTTGGTATAGTAAAAAAGAAAAGTTAATGCCAGACATTATGGTACACACCTTTAATCCCAGCACTCAGGAAACAGAGGCTGGCAGATCTCTGTCATTTCAAGTCCAACCTGTCTACACAGAACTTGTTTCAACACCCTCCACCCCCTACACAAAAAAAGTAAAGAAAGAAATAGTAATGGCTTGATTAAAAGTAAAAGCATGCTGACCTAATTTTTGGCCATTCTAACAACGTGTGTGTGTGTGTGTGTGTGTGTGTGTGTGTGTGTGTGTGTTTTCCCACGTGGAACCACACCATTCCCAAGTGAGAAAAGAGAACAAACACATTGATATCTGTCAAATTTGTAATTTTTATTGTATTCCTTAACAGATTTTTAAAAAATATGGCACTCTTTGAGCATCTATTCAGTCATCTATTCAAGCATTGACAATGTTTGAAACATTCTTAGAATCCTCTTGTCTTAAAGTAACAGACTGGAATGATAAGCAAGTGCATCTGAAGACATGTCAATATCAACAATAATATTACTTTCAAAAGTTTACTCTCACATAGACATATTTACTCTCATGGGCCTTGTGCCATCTAAGAAGGGTTCTTCCTATCAGTGCTGGCAGTGGATGCTTTCAACCACGGAGCCAGCCAGAAAGGCAGTGCTACATAGAGAGTACTGTGTGGGGAAAGCCTGCCTCTCCTTACATACTGTACAGGTTAGCTGTGGGTATATTTAAGGAGAGGTGACTTCAATGACAACCGTCACCTAAAACATGCATACATTCCTATAATTAGTAGCAGAATGGCACATTTTACTGTGCAGACACCAGCTGTCCAGCCTGGCTTTAGGGTGCCTAGACTTTCACACATCTGATACAGAGGGAACTTCTGAATTGACGCTTCCTGGCAACTGTCTGGTATTGAGGCTACTTCTGAGGAAACATCCCTTATGATTCCAAGTCACCGTGTTCATTCCCCAACACAAAGAATTTTCAGGCTAAAGTAATAGCACTTTGTTAAGAGAACTAATATAAGCAGTTCTGTAGAAAAAAATCATTCACCGTTTAGGATCTTTGCTGAGAAGAATGGAGAGACTAAAAAGGAATATCTTGGAAGATCATTTTTGTAAACACTACTGCCATTGTGATTTAGGACTCATGATAAATTGCCCACAGTTCTTTTTGACTTAGGGGATGATGTATAAGTAAAAACTGGAGTCTTCTGAATACAAAGGCATAGCACAATATCTTAAAGTAGGAGAACTAGGTAAGTATGTCACTAGGTCTCCAGTCTTCTTCCTATAGTTAGCCTCAGCTGTTAGTGTACATAGGTAGGTGCTTGGTTGTCCATGAAGAGAGCGTCTGGTGGGACACCAGCACTGGTAGATCCTATGCCTTGTTCTTCCTTCTGCTTACTTCTCCCAGAGACATTCCTGTTTGCCTTCTTGGGTATCTATTTGGCTATAAGAAGTGTGGAGGGAAGGAGGATGTTCTAAAGAGGCAGCATCATCACCAAATCAGAGCTTTCTCTCAAAAAAGAGGAAAGTAAAAGATATATAGCCATCAAAAAAGTATTCTGCCTAATCACAAATTCATATGAAAAATTTTCTGGTTTAGTATACACAGAATAAAAGATGAACATACATCCAACATGAGCACCAATGGCAAAGACAACCTTCTTAGCATTTATGAAACAAGACCACAATGAAATGTTTTCCTTTTGTCTTTCATAGAAACGTGAGAACACACTCAGGAGAACAGTCTATGGCTACACAAATCCAGAAATACTAGAAGAGAACTAGTCGAAACTTCTTGTTAAATACATAGTTTTGATTACTGACACCCTTTCAATTAAATCCTATGTGTTCAAAATGCAATCTTAGCATCCTGAGACAAAGGTCTACTCCATACTTCAAGTTGAAATCTGCTGCATTGGCATAAGTTTTGGTGAAACCTGGTGAGTGAAGGAGAAAAAAAAAGAAGTCAAAGTTTACTCTACCACACGATGTTAACATACAACTTCATTTTGTAATTTTAATTTTTGATTTAAAAATAAAGACTGAAGAAATGTTAAATTTCGAAAGTAATTAATAGATACAGATAAAAAATCCAATTTTTTAGAACTTAAGTGTTCATCAGTAATTAACCAATTTAATTTAATATGCACTGAAAATGACATTTCAGAGATAAGAGACTTTAAGTGGTATGAAGTCATTTCCCCCTCCCCACTTTGGCCCCTCAAACATACAATGTCTAATACAAGTATAGACAGAATTAAAAATATCAGTCCAAGCGGTCATCAGTCACATTCCCACATGGTTGGCAGAGGGAAACTGCACACCTGGCTGATAAACTACCGGGCAATTGATGGCTGTTAGGGGAAGGGAATTCATTTTTCTTTGGGGGTGTGGCCATACGTAAGTAGCTCAGGTTCTGGTGGATGGGCCCCACTCACACATGTGCATACAGGACAGCACAAATTTGAATCAGTAGATTATACAAAAAAAATGAAAAAGAAAAGGAAAAAAAGAATATGACTATGGGTGGGAAAATTATTAAGGAAGTTTGGGACAAAGGTGGATATGCTCAATATACATTGGTTATATTTGAATAAAATTGTCAAAGAAAAAATAAAAAGTATTATTTAAAAAAGATCTGGGATTTTCATCAGCTTGTCACAGCTTTAGAATGAGGAAATATACAGTATTTTGATTCTTTGAAAATAAATTATTATTTGATGAGTATTTGGGAAGAGTCTTTTTTCAAAATGTGAGCACAAGGGTAGAAAACTAATCAAGACTCTTTAGTTATGAAAATATTGGGTCACAGTGTCACAAACATAAGCCACAAAGGATTGACTATCCAACTTACAAACTACCCAACTTACAAACTTATGTATGTTAAAGAAAACAACCAACTAAGTCTTGTATCCAAAAAGGGGATTAATGCCCAGCATATATAAGGATAGCCTGTAAGTCAGCAAAGAACAATGACTTGATTAAACAGTATTAATTTTCCTGCTCTACTCCTGAACATCCCATTAGAAGTTCAAAGATCCTCTGTGATTACTCTACAAAGCTGCCCATTTATCCAACATTTCCACTGTTGAATGGCTTACTTCTGCATAAGGATACTAAGCACTAAACCTTGTGTAGAGCCATTATCTAACAACCAAGTGTTCAAAGCTGTTTGGAAGACTCTTGAGCATCTTAAAACCCAGGGGGATCAAGTGGGGAGGAGGAGGGGACATGAGGAGGGACAACTTCTGTTACTGTAAAGAGACTCCATGACCATGGAAACTCATAAATTTTTTCTTTTACTTTTGAGACTATAATATAATTATATCATAATTATATCATTTCTTCCTTACCAAGACCTCCTATATATCCTTATATATGCCTCTGCTTTTTTTTAATTGGTAACCAGGTAAGAGAAGGATAAATGTCTCTCTTCTTCAGAGAGAAATACACCATTGCTTAGCCAATACCAAGCAGTCAGCCCTGAAAGCATACATGCAAGTAACAACTAGAAGAAACCATTCTGAGCAAGGTAATCCAGTCACAAAAAGACAAACATAGTATGTACTCACTTATATATGGATTTCAGACATAGAGAAAAGGATTACCAGCCTACAATCCACACTGCTAGAGAAGCTAGGAAACAAGGAGGACCCTAGTAGAGACATACATGGTCCCCCCAGAGAAGGAGAAAGGGACAAGATCTCCAGAGCAAATTGAGAGCATGGGGGAGGGGAGAGGGAGCTAGGAGAAAGAGAATGGGAGAGGAGGACATGAGGGAGCAGGAAGATTGAGTCCCGGGAACTATAGAGGAGAGCAAGATAAGAGATACCATAGTAGAGGGAGCCATTATAGGTTTAAAGAGAAATCTAGCACTAGGGAAATGTCCACAGATCTACAAGAATAACACCAATTAACAATCTAAGCAACAGTGGAGAGGCTACTTTAAATGACCTCTCTTGATAATGAGATTGATGACTACGAGTGTTTTGCCTGCATATATGTACATGCACCATGCGTGTTCGTAATGCCTGTGGAGGCCAGAAAGGGTAATGGATCCCCTGGAACTGGAGTTACAGAGGGTTATAAGCCACCATGTATGTGAGTGCTAAGACTGGTTAGGTCCCGCTCAAGAGCAGCAAGTCAAGGCCATTTTGAGCTACAGGTGCAAAGTAGGAAGCACTGCCATACTTGAATTTAAAATAAACTCAAATCTATGGCAAGTGAAATAGCATAGTGTTTTTATATACTGCAAATCTATGGCAACTGAAACAGATGTAGACCCATGGAAAAGGACAAAGGCTCTAGAACTAAGGGTAGTGATCTAAAGTCACCTGCTTTTGACAAATCACTAACAATACTAGAAAACTGAAAATACCACGGAAAGCCAATCTTCTCATACATGGTGCTGTGAGACCCGGATATCCATGTGCAAAACCAAATTAGACACCCCTCCCCCATCTGTCAATCACCAATTACAAAATGCAACACTCTTAAACTATAAAACTACTGGAAGAAAACAAGACAAAAGCTTTAGGAGTTTGAAACTGGCAATGATTATATTTTTTTTTTGAAGAAGACACCAATGCATAAGAGAGAGAGAAAAAGGCAAAAACAAATTGGATTGTAGCAACTTAAATGCTCTGCAGAGCAGAGGGAACAAGCAAAGAGTGAACAATGTACAGAGGGACAAGACTCCGTGTAGCATGTTCTTATAAAGGATTAACAAACATGTATGACAAAAAGTTAATATCCTGAATTCATATATGGAATTCAAAAAACTCAACAGCAAAAACATTTCCCAAATTATTCAATTAGCTGTGGGGGCACGATGTCTTTAATCCTAACACTCAGGAGGCAGAGGCAGGTGATTCACTGAATTTGAGGCCATCCTGGTCTGTAGAGTGAGTTTCAGGACGGGCAGGGCTACATGGAGAAACCCTGTTTCAAAACAAACACACATATAAACAAACAAAAAAAAAAGTGTACAACATATCTAAATAGACATGAAAGGGAAACATCCAAAAAAGCCAACAGGTTATATGAAAATTCTCAAAATCACTAATCATTTAATAAATAAAAATCAAAGCTATGATGAGATGCCAGCTCAACCAGTTAGATTAGCTATTATCAGAGGGACAAAGACACTGTTCGTGGTCTTTCTGGTAAGACCAAGTGCAAAATCACAAAGGAACAAGTGCTGGCAAGGATATAGAAGGGGCATCTGGTAGGGACAGAATGGTAAAGCCATTGTGAACATCTGTACAAGATTTCCTCAAAAATTAAAAATAGCATCACTGTATGATTTAGCAATCTCACTACAAAGGAGATAAGGCCATCACACCAATGATACAACTACATTTCCTATTCATAACAACCAAGAAATAGAAACAGTGTGAATACCTACTACCTAATGAATGGATATAGAAAATGGTATTCACCTACAACAGGATACTATCTATTAATAAAACAACAAATTACTGGATTTTGTAGCAACATACATGAAACTGGAAGTCAATGTTTTACATGAACTAAGCAAGCCAGCCCATTAAAATGAGTATTGCATGATCTCACTTCCATGTAGAATAGAAAAAAGTATGAAGTCATAGAAGGAGCCAGTAGAATGGTGGTTCCCAGAGGTTGGGAGGAGAATGGAGAGATGGAGGAGCAAGATCAACCACTGAGTACCGAGTAATTGTTAGGAGTGAGAATGTGTGATGTGCTGCTGTGAGGTGGCGTGACTGCCTATATTTATAACAATGCTGTGCTATGTATGTTGGAAAGTTAATAGAAAGGATTTTAAATGTTTCCATCACCAAGAAATGCTTGAGGGCAGGAATGTTTATCCTGACTAGTACACAATGCATACACACATCAAAACATCAAAATATACCTCACAAATAAACCAATTTTCACATCAGGGTAGTAATAGTAAAAGGAAGGGATGATACTGGAATATAAGAAGGACCATGGAGACATTTTGAAATCTAGGAAGATAGGACAACTAGCCTACATACCCCTCCTCCCCCATGTGTGTATAACAGAAATAGCAATATTTTTTCTGAATTGCCCACACGCATAACAGACAGTTAGATAATGAGGGTCTTGTACTGGATATTCTTTTGCAGCAGAAACTGAAATTTCTGCGTATCTCTGAAGGTGTTACCTGACAGAGGGCTCCTATTCCACACAAAAGGAAAAGAAAAAAAAAAAAAAAGAAAGAACAGCTGATTAAGAACTGTTTGCTTCTTTCGCTGGAGTACGAAATCCTAAATAGTAGAGTATAAATAAATCTCCTTTCTTCCTTATGAGGTTATGAGAAAACTAATTAAAAATTTGCTTTTCAAGCAAGGTATTGCTGGGAGACTGCTGTTTTTCCAAAGGGAAATCCGGAAAAGGTTAGTAAACAAAGGACCACAGTACAGCATCAGGAGTGGTTACTATGTGCATAATGAATTATACAGCAAAGCCCTTTCAAAGAAGCTTGCTATGCACTTGTAGGTACAAGCAAAGGCTGTGTACATGGGAAGTTAAGTATGAAATCTGTGGAGAGCATAGCAAATTATTTTTGTTAAGTGAGTTTTTCTAACTTCATCTCATTATATTTCATTGTGATTAGTAAATAGGTTCTGTCACTTACTGTTCTTTCAGACATATATAATCCTTTTACCTTCGGTTAACATTAAGTTAATTGCATCTCTCTGTCAACCTTAACAGGAAGTTGACTGATGATTTATAATAAGCACTTTAATACATACACAATAAATAAATACAATTTTAAAGGATGAATAAATAAGTATAACTACAAAACTTTTATTAGAACCCTCCCCAGTTGGGTTTCCAACGCTTGTGTTTTCTGTGAACTATTATTTTCCTGCAAGTAGGATACAACTACCTTGCACTTGTTACATTCTTGTATCTCTAATGGATGGAATAAAAGACACAGATCAAGGAGAATACCATTGTTGATGGATGTAAGAATAAGGAAGTATTACTTTCCCACAAGTGGCTGGCATCAAGATTAGCCACACTTGTCAAAGAATGGATGACTTCCAGGGCTTCACACAAGGCACATGAGCAGGAGCTTGTCCTTTGTCCCCTGCAGCTCCTGGTGTGTCCTCCTGCTCCTGTCTCACACCTGCCTGAGTCACACACCAACTATTCTACCAGCTCTCACAGGAGGTGCCCTTCCCTACTTCTGCTCATATCAGTCCCTTAAATGCTCAGAAACGAACGCTTGTATCCTATAACCATTAATTCACCCAGCCTGTGGTCCAGCGAAAGAGGCTGACTCTGCTCACATAAACACTTACTGCAAAGTCACAGCCGGTGCTCTTCTTTATGTCATCAACAGTCAGGCCTTCCCAGAGCTCAATCAGTGTCAGCCCATTTTTCTTGTCCACGTCAAACACACCCTATGGGGAGTCAAGAAAATGACAATGACCATTTCCATTATGAAAATTGTCACACAAAAAAATAGATGAGACTTTCAAGTTCCTAGGATAGAAATAAGATCCAGGACCAAAGACTAAAAACCAGCAATGAGAAAAATGTTCACTATAACTATTATAAATCCTCCCAGCTCCTTACAAGACTAAAAACCAGCAATGAGAAAAATGTTCACTATAACTATTATAAATAATACCAGCTCCTTAACCAGCCATTGGTTGGTGACTATAGTTGGCATCTTCTAGTGCTGTTATCAGTTTTTTGTTTTTATTTTTTTGTTTTTGTTTTTTGGGTATTTTGCTGTCTTCCATTTGTTAATTCTAACACATTAGGTAAAAGGCCAGAGAAGTAACCGATGATCTGAAGAGGGGAAGGAATAAACACAGTGAGGATAAGGCAGGGTAGAGTTGGAAAGAGATAGGATAGGGATGCTGGGGAAATGCTGCTAGGTAAATGACTGTAGGAAATAAAAGGAGACACTATAGTGCCCCAAGTGTAATTATGAAATAAAAGCTGGCCTGGCCTCGAAAGCCCAGCCAGCTCAACTAAGTAGCTGTTCAAGTTCTTGATGGTAAAACTCCTCAACTTCTAAATTCCCAAGAAAATACATAGATCCCAAGAGGAAGGCATAAGCATCGCAGCCTTTTGGTGTGAAAATCAAATGGTTGTGCTGGTGTCTAAGGCAGACAGGAATGCTGACCCCCACCTGCACAATCTATCCCAACATCATGGTCACAGTACCAACCTGTAATGGTACTATCACTTGACTTCAGTGGAAGGAGTCTACAAAGCATTCAATGTAGCTTTCTTTCTACTTGAGAATTCTTCACAGGTCTTCTGAGATGGTTTCTGGGCCCTGCTCAGTTCTGGGGTACTTACTTCTCAGGGAAGATTGTCTGCTGCTATAACAGCTTTAATTGTGAGACCCACCTGCTTCTCTGGAGCTTCAAACCCTACCCTGTGGGTCCCTGTGCAGTGACATGGCTCCCTCTGTCAGTTCCCATGGGGAGTTTCCTTTCTCAGGCTTAGAGATTATGTTTCCCAGGTTTTGTTCCATGGATTTAACTTAAATTTACCTGTTGCTTGTATTCTTTATTTTTTACTTTCAACTACTTTTGAAGTCAAAACCTAAACTGTCATGTTTAAATACATTGAGAGCAGAAAGGCAACAAACAGGGGAAGGAGCACTGGTTTTTGAGGTGGCCTATCACATAGCTCTGCTGCATAACAGCTAGTGGCCTGGGGAGCCTGCCTCTGCAACTGTGGTCAGAGAGCACGAAAATGCCTCCATGAGGCTGTGGTACCTAAATACCACATATCATTCTCTGGATCCCATCCTGACTACAGTGTCAGTGTGTCATTATTCCTTAGCAGAGTGCCTAGGCCAGGTAAAAGGCCTAAGATAATGACTTTTTCCAGTTGGTTTATATTTTTCTTCAGAAGGAACACTATGGGACAAGGGATGTTTACTTTCCTTGTTTGTTTGATAACATGACTGATTCTACTGAAACAATGATTGCAATTTAAGAGGAATTAGGTTTCATTTGATACTCTAAGGGGCAAGCCAAAATTTGATAAAAAATAGAGAGTAAAACCTAAATGTTAATGTTAACTGCTAGTAAAAAATGATACTGAAACTACCTTGTCTTGCCGCTAATCAAAAATGATAGTGAAACTGCCTTGTCTTCCGGGTAAGTGAGTTAATTACTTTATTACTACCATAAAGGCTACATTATGGATCCCACAGTTAATTACAGCCAGGTGCTGATGGGGAAGCTATCTTTTATAACCCAATCCATACAATAGGAAACAATTACAAATACTTTCAAAGAGCAACCTAATGGAATTCTCCCCAGTGCTGATATAGAAATTATGGTTCCTTAACTGCCATTGCCTTTAGTGGCACTGTATCCTCATCCACTCATCCAGCAGCATCTATGGATCACTGCATCCTCATCCACTCATCCAGTATCTCCTATGGAGCACTGCATCATAATCCACTCTCCAAGCAACACCTATGGAGAACTGTACCCTCATCCACTCATCCATCAGTATCTATGGAACACCTGTGTTCTCATCCACTAATCCATCAGCATCTATGGAGCACTGCATTCCCACCCACTCATCCAACAGCATTTATGGAGCACTGCATCCGCATCTACTCATGCTTCCTTTCCTGAGATGCTGAAGATTCAGATTATCTGCCTTGACTTTTTTTTTTCACACAGTGTCACTTACAGTTCATGCTCTGACTGTGGTCACAAGCTAAGACTCCCACTAACTTATTCCAGTACTGCCTTTTGAACTCTAGATCCAAATTTAGAGTTCTTTTTTAAAATATCAGGCATATAAAATTGAAGGTGTCAAACTAAACCTCTTTTTTTCCTGCCTCCCACTGCTATTTCTCTAGCTTTGCCAGGACCCAGCAGCTCAGACATTCCCTCTTGCTAGAAAAGGTAGATCTCACCTGTCTTACCAGCTGTGCCCTACTCATCAAATTAGGCTGAGTCCTGTCTCCTAAATCTCTTTAGAGTATCTCTCTGGTTTGTGATTTTGGATCTTTTGTCTTTCTTACCTAGACAGTTGTTGGGCCCTTTCAATAAGATTTGTCTCTTCTTCTCTTTTGTCTATTAGAAAAAGCAAAAGTCGTAGTGCATTGACTAATGAAAATGGCGCCCTAACTATTAAACACATTGCTGAAGGGCTCCCTATCCCTCTCTTGAGAAGAAACCACTTCCCTTCCTTGACTTGATCCCTCAGTGTATTTTCTGCTTTAGTTCAGAATACAGCTGCACTCTTGCTCTAAGTTGCTATAGAATAATCCTTCTGTACTCTGTGAATATGTATTGCTTTCATTGGTTAACAAAGATGCTGATAGACCAGTAGCCAGACAGGAAGGATAGGCGGGGAAGACAGAAACAGAGGACTTTGGGAGATGCCAGTCAGCCACTAAGCAAGCGGAATGTATAGAAAATGAGGTAATGAGCCATGTGGCCAGCATAAATAGAAATATGGGTTAATTTAAATGTAAGAGTTAGCTAGTAACAAGCATGAACTATCGGCCAAGCATTTCTAATTCATATTCAATCTCTGAGTCAGTTATTTGGGACCAGGTAGTTGGGACAGGAAATGTCTGTTTACACTAAGCTGTACCATTTGCAAATTCTTGAACAGACTGGGCTTTATTTGCCCCTCTGAGATTTTGCATGAGTTTCTACTTTGCCTGTGATGTCTTTTTTGACTTTCGTTTCAATCATAACACTCCCATTTGTCTTTCAAGACTCAGTTCAATCTATCAGCTTTCTCATCATGATAAGTATGACACCTCTATTTAATGAGATGATTGAGTCTGAGTTAGTTGCTACACTAAAGTGTTGCAGGAGCAGCAACAAGGGAAACAGGCAGAGGTTAGAGTTCATTTCAATACAGGTGTCAGTGCTAAGTTAGGCTAAGTACAAGGATTCAGGGAAGCACTCACAGGACATTCAGGGAGGAAGAAGAGATACTTGACAGAGAACCAGGAAGATACATGACTGAGATAAAAGGCAAACAGGAAGTGACTGATGGATGGATGGATGGATGGATGGATGGATGGATGGATGGATGGGTGGACGAATGGATGGGAAGGTGGGCGGGTGGATGGATGGGTGAATGGGTGGGTAGACAAATGGACAGAACATTTCAGGGAGGGGTGGAGAATGCACAGTCCCAGAAGCACATGGTCCGGGGTGGGGGAATTCAACAGAGTTCCTGGCATTTTAATACTGCTCAGGCAGGAGAGTTTTTGTTTTTTTTTTTTTTTTTTAAGATTTTATTTTTTATGTCTTCTGCCTGCATGCCAGCAGAGGGCACCAGATCTCATTCAAGGTGGTTGTCAGCCACCATGTGGTTGCTGGGAATTGAACTCAGGACCTCTTGAAAGAACAGTCAGTACTCTAAACTGCTGAGCCATCTCTCCAGCCCACCCTGGTTGGAGAGTCTTAACTCAGAAAGACTTGAGTATAAAAAGTTTGACTTCGGAAATGCTATATATGATGCCACCCAATAGCAGCTCTTGGTACTGCTGCTGGTCTACCTTATGAGCTCCTAACATAGCATCTGGTGTGTGTGTCACACTGTGACTTCTATGGAATCTGTTTCTGGCTGCTGGAGATGCTGGGTGTCTCCTGTCTAATCCTATGGAATGTGTCTTTTGAAGAGTGACTGTAACCTCCTCCCCTTCTTTGTAAGTCATTGTCAGATACCATCTGGTTCAGAGAAGGTCCTCCAAAGAAAAGTTAACTGAATGAATGAAACAACATGCAAGAACAGAAAAAGTAAGTACAAAGGGGGCTGGAAATGTCTTTAAGCTTTATCACCCATAAAAGTTACATCATAAAAAAATGCAGGTATCAAATGGAACATGCTGAAGTGAATGGGCCACTATGAGGATGCACACTAAGAGGATGAGGAGTCCCTTTGTGATGCAAGTGAAAACTAGCTAGGCTTCAAGGATGGGTGCAATACAAGAGAGAAGGATGAGGAGTATGACACTCTGTAGGCAGAAGATTTGGAAGGTGAAGAGCAGAACAGCAGGAAAGGGGCTTACTGGGGGAGGTGGCGGGGATCGGGTTGGGGAATAACAATGCTAGAAGACTCCTGGTTAGGGTTATCACTGTATTAAAGAAGTCATGATTGAGAAGGACTCTGTCTCAACTGCAAAGCAATAGCTCTTCTCAACTGACCCTGTCCAGAGTTTAGAGGAGACTAAAGAAATAACAATGACTTTGATATGCTTGTTCTCCATATAGCACACTTACAGAATTCCACACACTCTCATGAATGCCCAACAAGATGGAACCTCCCTTGAGAATGCAGCTTCTGGGAAGTGTTGTATATGTAACCTACTTTAGAGCATGAGTTAAGGTATTTCTTCCCATCCTGTAAAGAAGGCTAGTGAGCCAGACCCTGTGAGACACAACTGTTGTACAGCCCTGGTCGAAAGAAGAGAGGCATCACTGAGAAGAGGGAGAAACCCAAGCAAGCAATTCTGTCCTGTGGCTTCATCAAGAAAAACACCCTCCTGGATGATTGATAGCAATCATGCCATTCGCAGTTCTTAAGTTTAAATCTGAAATAGGAATCTGGCTGTGGATAGCTGTCCCAAATACTTCTCTGATACAAGCAGCTTTTAACCATATAATTGGCCAAAGTTTTCCATTTATGAAACAAAATACAGAGGCATGGAAGTGGTGGGTGTGTTCTAAAGTCCACTTCATGAAAATGTCAGACACCATGTTAAGTAGAATGTATGTCTTGATCCATGGTGGTTCTATACTGCAACTCATACCCAAGTGACTCACACCCAATGGTGGGTGAATTCCCTAAAATAAAAACCCAATAGTTCATTCCTGTGATTTTGGCAGACAAGAAAGAAAGAGGGGAGAGGTAAGTATACTCTGAACCTTATATATATCATCTATCTTCAGAGTCCAAATTCAAGGATCAATAAAGATCTTCTCTGATGAAAGCAAACTGAAAAGTACCAGGATAAGGATAAGAGTTCCATTTTGTGTGTGAATTCCTGAGAGGTGTACATGTGCAAGTCTACATTGAGAAACATTAATTTTCCTATTCCCTCCTTTGACAGACTAAATTAATCTTATAGCCATTTATGTAATATGATTTTAGATGGTAATTTTTAAAAAGCCTCAAATGTGTCTCTAAATGAAATAATAAAGGTGGTAGTTGATGCAAGCAGAATAAAAAAGAAGGTACTTTACCTTTTCTGTAATAATGCGATTGACACACTGCTTTCCCGTCAGTGGTAATGTACATTTCTCCATGATTTTGTGTGCATTTCCCTGTTTGAAAGAACAACAAGAAAACATCAACAATAGTATTTAGCAAGTAATTCCTACTTAGAATTGGTGTGACTATACCAAAACCAGGAACTAGCAGTGACATCCACTTTTAAGCATGTGCTGTTTCAAAACCTCAGTCAAACTCTCCTCCCTCTCAGGGCAGCTCCTATGCTTGGGATAACGTAGGGAAGACCCCTACAAGTAACTAAATGCTTAAGAGATTTATTGGGGAGCCCTGTTCCACATAGGAGTACTCTCAGGCCTCATTTCCTGTACTACCTAATGTGCAGCTCCCAAGTCTTGAATCCTCCATTTTCTCTTCCAAAGAACGGCCCCCTTAAGAAAGAACATCTGCACTTATTTGTCATGAGAAAGACATATACATGGAAAATGAACCTGCAACCCAGCCTCCCTCTTCTAAAACAGATTTTATCTTGTTTATTAAAAAGTAACAGATGCACAGAAAACAGCAGTGCCTTGCTTCCATTTTCAGCAGGAAAAACCTCCATTTCCTTCTATATGCTCATGCATTTTCTCCTACATTTAAAGCATTATATTTAGCATGCTATTTATTCCTTGCTGTCAATTTAGAGATTATCTACTAGTTTATTTTGTGGTACATGAAAACTTAATTCTCTTACAAGTTCCATTTGCAACCCCAAAGTCCCCACAATCATACTTTGTCCTCCCAGTCACAATTTGTTGTTACTTTCAACCATCAGAATTGATTTTATTCTCAATCCAATGTCCAGGCAAAGCAGACCAGTGCTGGGCCAGGTGACAGTATACTGTATTCACTTTCTCTTGTGACTGTTTTCCCCCTTGAGATTGAGCTCTACTTTGCTCTTTAATAAAACACACAACCTGGCTTCAATGAGCTTTTTTTCTTTTTGAGATTTCTTTTAGCCACATCTCCCTTTCTTTAAACATAAAACAGAAGAGGGACTATAAGAAAAAAACAGGTTTTACCCATTAACTCCCTTCCCCAGGCCCATCCTGACCCCAAATGTGAAAGTGGCCTCCCAGGTGCTTCTATGGAGCCCAGCTGTAGTAGCAGCTCTGACCTCTTCCAGTTATGATTCAACTCTCTTTTAACTACACAGCACTAGGAGCATAAATGAACATTTCCTTTGAGGTTGAAGGCTGCAGGTCTCATCTTAAAAAACACTAAAATGCTTCTACTTTCTTTTGGATCTAAAGACACCAAATACAATGATGTCACCACCATCATCAGCCACCTGTCTGTTTTGCCTTGTAAACATCCACCTATGAATTAGTTTAGATATCTCCCCTGTCTGGTGTCAAACCAAATGCATGTTCAGAGGCAATGCATTTGCAGATAACAGGGTGTAATTATGATTTTCCTCTTTGTAATTATTTGTCAACTTTGCAATGCTGTTATAGTTAAGATGGTTTCAGCGTGTGTAACTCAGTGCAAGGCATAAAGGTATTCTAACATATGAATGAATGAATGAATGAATGAATGAATGAATCAATTGATCAATCAATCAATCAATGGAAATTGATGACTTTTATAAATCTTGGATGGGTTGTTTTTTAAAAGACAGATTCTGTAACCTTGACTTAGTCAAAACTGTTGACTACATATTAAGTAGGTAGGTATTATGCCTTCGAAACTTGAGTTGTTTCTAGATCTTGCTATATAAGAAAATTTACAGATTAGAATGAGAACCTCGCCTTCTCTTCTGCTATCGCCTCCCTTGTGAGATTTCACATTCTGCATGTCACGGAAGCTAAATTTAACAGCTGAAATTAATGATGAACATTGAACTTCTATAGTTGTCAGGTTTTCTTACATTTAATATAGCTCAAATAAGACATGTCACAATGAATTCCAAGCCTGACTTTAAACGAAGTGAATAGTTTGGAGGCCTCTGAGGACCACTTCCTGCCAGGAGATCTCACAGTGTTCTCATTATTTGAGAACACAGTGTAAAGTAGCTTCATGGAGCACGACCCTGCTTTAGGAGAAATGATGAATTTCAACTAACAACATTCATGGTGCCCTACCAACAGAGACCTTTTATAAACTATTTTCTGTGTAAATAATACAGCATAGATAGGAAAGGTGTGGACTTCTTACCAGAAACTTTTGTACAAAACCTGGCCCTTCTCACATTATCTGTGTCAGAACAGTATGTCCATATTTTCTTGCCCACCTTACTTTACAGTATCCTTAGATTTAAACTAAATACAACTTTCCAACACTTAGTAAGAATAAATGTTGACTACAATTGCTTATATAACTATAATTAAAATTCATATAACCTACAAATAAATTCTTTATGAGCTTGTAATCCCCTACATGTAGTGTGACACAGAAATAAGCAAAAAAAAAAAAAAAACAGCCTCTATTAATTTCCTGAGACCCACAGAACTAATGAAAAACAGTACATATTTGAAGATAAACTGTAAAGCTTGCCTAGGAAACCAACACCTGGTATATCTGTGCAGTTAGAACAACATAGCTAGATGAATCCATTCACATTTAGCCCCAAGACATAACAGAGATCAAGGAGAGAGCAAAAATAACACACAGAGAGATGAAAATGTGTCACAATTGCAATGTAACAATAGGTTAGTTCTCAAGTCAAACAGACTGATTCCCACTTTAGCACTCTTCCCTAGCACGATGGGCTGGGCATCCGTGTAGCATGACAGCTGCATACATTAGTGATTCTCAAAACAGGAACAATGCAGATTTTGAATGTTTAAAAATAAATTCTAATAGACTGTCAGTATAGTATGGCAGCATCCAAAACACTAGAGAAGTTTGAAGACCAGGACTCTCATTTAATAGGGACCTGGAGGACTTTGTTTGGGCCTTTAAGTTCTTTGGGTTGTTAATCTACTATTGCCTTGATCTTCTTTCTCTGGTAATAATAAAAATTCAGTGAAATGTTGAAGGTGCACTGAATTAGGAGGGGCTGAATTGATGCTTAAAAGAAAAACAGGGTTTCGGTTCTTCCTCATCATTCTGCTGTTTTTTCACGTTCTCCAAAAGGGAGCTCAGAAAAGGCAGAAGCATGGATACAAATACGGAGTTAACAATGTTTTGAGTGGTCCATTCCAGCAGACCCAAAGCCTTAGGAAGCTGGAGCAAGAGAATCACTGGAGCAAGGAATTCAGTGCTGACCTGAGCAATTTTACCATACTTCATCATAGCCTTTATTAACTCCTAAACCATATTGCTTCCAATTATTTCCCCTGACATCTTTCTTCCCTTCAGTACCTTAGGTACTTCACAATTTTGTGTTTCAATGACATGGGCCTCAGAATATGCCAATATTTGCTTCCTTGAGATCTCTTTAATTCTTTAGCTCTCTATATGAAATCCTAGAACTACATTTTGCAGTAATGTATAACTCTGGTTAAATGATAATAACTCTTGCTCTCATAACAGTACATTTCAGGGCATCAAAATGCACCCAATCTCACATAACCAGACCTTTTTTTATACAACAGAGTGTTCTAGGAATTGGTCATTCCCATGCCACCAGCTACTGGGAAAATGCACCAAATTATATCCCATTACCTCAGATTCAAATAACCATAGCCTTTCTAGTTTTCAGAACAACCTTTCCAATATCTCTTACATAGTGTCCACTCCAGTGTCCCAAGGGAACCCCCAGTATGATGGCCCTCTTGGATGTTCTGTGCTTCTTTTCCCCCACTACCCATGGCATGCTGTTCATCTTCTATTGAATCCTAGTACCTTCTGAGCATGCTCAAGGCTGACATCATTCATCTCTGCATCCACAGGAATGAAAAGAGCACTAAGTAAACCAGTGACCAAAATATGCTGTCTGGATATTACGATCTGATTCATTGAACTCTGACAGAATTGGAGGTATAAAATACCATGTGACTAAGTACCTGTGGACTGCCTGGGGCGTCTTTCCGGCTCTCAGAAATACACTTGCACAGTTCCAGTATCTCTGAGCTCAACAGAAGTACTTGAAAGTAGATCACAAGATTTGGCAAGAGGAAGGCAAAGGAGTGGAGCAAAGACTTATCAGGCCTATAGTGTAAAACATAGAACTTCAAAGGGAGAAATGAAACTAGTTTCTGCATCTTCCACTCGCTCCTTCCTAGCCGCCCAAGCTCCGCATAATCTACCACAGATGCTGAACTCTATATTCAATATTTAATAGCAGAAATTAAATATTCTGCAACATGTAATCTTTAGTAATCTTTAGTACAAAGGAGCCAATATCATATCTCTCTTCAGCCTCAACACAGTATCACAGAAGCCTCTTTGTCAGCAGGCAGTGCCTTCTCCCTGGCTAACACTCACTATAATGATGGAAGCAAGTCAACTATCTTCTACACACATGCACCATATTGGGGAACACTGTGTTTGTTACCAGTAATATGACTGTCAGGTCACTATGATGATTGATGTAGGAGATAATAAAAATAGATTGCTAAGCAAAGAAAATCAGGTACACAGAGTACCAGGCCAGAATGAACATGCTCTCACTGAGTTTATCCTCATGGGACATGTTGGCCTTTCCCTGTACTGACTTGGTGGATCTTAACGGTTTTCAGGGAGCTGCTGGAGACTCTCAGCTGGCACAGTGAGCTTGTTAGGATCCATTCTTATCTGTACATGCAGTAACAGTTTATGGCCATGAGCATACTCTCAAAGGAGAGAGTAGCCAACTGAGATAATGGATATAGCAAGCCATGTCCCTATGAAGAAGGGTCAGGGTTGAGGTCTTAGGATAGAAGACCCTTTCCTTCAACAGGATCATCACTGTAGCCAGGCTTTCACTATCTCTGTAAAGGCTGACTCCTTAACACCTAGATACCAGAGTCCAGGAATAAGTAGGGAAAATTATCCCCACTCACAAATAGGAGTGGTAACTTAGTTTTTCCTTAGTATTACTTTTTTTTCCTTTAAAAAAATACAGGGGTTCATTGACAAACTCAAACTTATATAGTTTAAAATTATTAGCTTAATTCAATTCCCTAAG